AATCATCTCCAGAAGCTCCCTTTTCCCACAGAGGTGACAGGGGCCCAGTGTCAGAAGGACCCCTGTGAGAATCGGTTAACATATCAGAGCTTGAGTCTCCTCTTTCACTGGTAATCTGATGGTCCAGAGGATTGCCTGGGCCTTTTGAGCCTCTTCCTTCTCTCCTTGGAAGCAAAGGTGAGACTCTGGGTGGACCCTCCAATGAAGTTGGAGACAGAAAAGCTCTTGTTTCAGATGAAGGCTGACCCAATGGTGAGGGGCCATATAGGGAAGACTCTGTGAAATGGTGCTTTTGGAACATCCAATGAATGCAGATTTTTTTCAAAAAGTTCAAATTTAAACTCTAGTTCAGCTAGTTTTTGTCTGCTGTGAGCATTTTCTTTCCTTAAATCATGGAGATGTCTTTGAGCAGTTCGAGCTGCAAACCAGTAATCATGCGCTTTGTTCTCATAGGAAATAATGCGCTTTGTATAATAATGCATCATTCTCTCCAATTCTTCTTCAAGATCGTTGGTTCTCTTTCTATAGGTCTCCAGCTTTGCGGTGGCATGGCTGATCCTTTTGTCTACCTTAGAAAGTTTCTCTTCTGTCTCTAACTGGCAATTTTCCTCTGTTGTTAATTTCCCATAGAGTTTCATTTCATTTTCTTGATATAATTCAGTCATTACTTTAAGTTTCTGTTGAAGTTTCTGATTCTCACTTTCAAAATGTGTGTTTTCTGACTGCAAAGATGCTTGTTCAGTCTCAAGATTTTTAATACGTTCTGTAAGTTTTTCCTTCATTTTATCAACTTCAGATAACTGAATATAAATTTGGGTTCTTTCTCCTTCTAAGCTTTTGAAAGAAGCATTGTACTTAGCAGCATGAATCAGTTTCTTCAAAGCTCCATTTGGAGGATGACCTAAGTACACACCATTTTCTGATTCACTGTTCAGTTCTAACTCCACGTTGTCTTCATCCATTCTGTCTTCTCCAAGCATAGCCGCCCAATGGTTCATCTTCAGCAAGTGTTCAGTCAGAGTCTTGATGTGATTGTCTTTATCATTGAGAACTTGTTCTGCGTGCACTTTGGAGTCTTCCAATGTTATTTTCTGTTTATTAAGTTCACTCACGTGTTCTTTCCACACTTCGGCTTCTTGCAAAAGCTGTCTCTGGCTTTCCTGAAGTTGAGAATTTTCATCCAAAGCATCTTTTATTGCTATCTTCAGTGGTTCTTCATTCATTGGAAAGAAAGTATTGAAGGTCATTTTGGATTCAGCGACTTGTGATTTGAGGGATTTTGACTCATCTTCTAGAGACTGTATCTGTTTTGAAATATCCACCATCAGTTCATTTTGTTCAGACTGTTTCGATTTCTCTTCTTTTAACTCTCTTACTAGACATAGTATTTCTTCCTCAAGTTCCGCATTGGACCTGCTCAGCTTTTCACAGGTTGCCTCCAAGCTTTGTGCCTCTGTTGCCTCTTTCTCAAAGCTGGCATCCTTTAAAGATGACTCCATTTCATGGCCTTCATACTCTTTTTGAATAATGCTCAGTTTTTCAAGTAGTTGACATTTTTCCTCAATTAGTCTAGACAGCGTTTCAGCAAGCTTTTTCTCCCTTCGCACATAAAGCTGACTCCTAACTGATCTAAAACCTCTCCACAAAAAAAAGAGAACAGCAAAAAATCCAAACATAGCTGCTCATATCACCCATTCCCATGGAAAACCATAAGAATTAGAATCTGCTCCCATACTTTGGCGCAGTGCTGCCACAACCCTGTGTAGCACCTCCAGAACCAGCCTCAAGTATGGCTCAGGGGTAGCCTGGGGCTCCTCCACAGTGCCAAGGCTGCTCTGGTGGTCGCCGCAGTAACCGGGGCCTGTGGGGGCCACAACAAAGGGCAGAGAACAGGCAGCCTTCTGTCTGGAACCTGAACCCACAGGGGCAGCTGGAGCGGACCACTGCAAAGCTGGCTGCGGGGGGAGCTGGGAAACGCTGGGGAGCTGGAAGACGAAGTGGGGAGCTGGGGGATGCAGGCACCCACAGGTCTCACTGGCCCACACTGCCTTTTTCTTTTATTTTTACTTTATTTTTAGATTGGGGTCTTGTCATGTTGTCCAGGCTGGTCTTGAACTCGTAGCCTCCAGCGATCCACCACCTTCCTCAACTAATTTTGGCATTTCAACTTCCACACTTCTCCCCAACTAGAATAATTTCGCAGTTTCAAAATCATATTCATTCTTTTTTGACTAAGCGTTTGTCAGTACCATAACTGAAAAGGCTCTTCCACCGTTAATTATCCTTACTACTTGTGTAATGCTGAATTACATAGTCTCACACATAAATTATGCAAAACACAATTTTGCAGGCATGTTTCTCATTGAATTATATATACTTTTGAGCTAAGACCTGTCTTACTCATCTTTATACGTCCACATTAGTAGAATGCAAGTAACAAGACACAACACTTATGATATTTATGGGGTTTTTTTCTTAGAAAAATGTCTCAAGTCATAGATACATATGATTTTTAATAAATTTTGAGATTTCCTTTTAAAGAGCCTTTAGACAATTTTTTAAAAAGTCTGTAGCTGCTCATCTGATTCCTCATTTCAGGACTTCAATAAATAAGACAATACCTAATAAATAAATAAGATCCAATAAGACCTTCAGGCCCTATTTGCTGTCAGCGGCTAAGGGTAGGAGCACATATGAAGCAGAAGACTACAGCTGGAAAAAATCTGGCAGTCAGGATATGACTTATTCTACACTTGCCACTAAGTAGCTAATTTAACACTTACATGCATCATTTAACTTTTTTTTTTTTTTTTTAAAAGACAGAGCCTTACTCTGTTGCCCAAGCTGGAATGCAGTGGTGCAAACCAGGCTCACTGCGACTTCCACCTTCGGGGTTCAAGCGATCCTCCTGCTTCAGCCTCCCAAGTAGCTGTGATTACGGGCATCCACCACCACACCAAGCTAATTTTTATATTTTTAGTGGAGATGAGGTTTCACCATGTTGGCCGGGCTGGTCTTGAACTCCTCACCTCTAGTGATCCACCACGTCAGCCTCCCAAAGTACTGGGATTACAGTCATGGGCGACCGTGCCCAGCCCATATCATTTAGCTTCTAAAGGCTATAGCTACTTCATCTAGAAAAGGAGTTTAGATTAAATGACTTCCATATCTACCTCAGTTCTAATAACAGAAACAAAGTATATTCTTTTACAGCCTCTGATGTCAAAAGACTTCTGTAGAGTCATGTTAGGAAAGAGTAGTAAATACAATATTCATAAGCATCAGCTCTAACTCCTAAAAAGGGCTCTGCTGACATTCTGGTTAGAATCACGAGGCAAGTTAGGATACAATTAACATCTCTAACAACACAACCCAACAAACCAAATACTTCAACTAACACAAATCGTTAGTTCACTAATTTTAGAATAAGGGGGTACACCACAAGAAACATTAAGTCTCAGAAAACATACTCCGTGGTGGGGGTCTGCACCTATGGCCCATCACCCGTCTATTTGTATTAATAAAGTGATTGAGCACAGCCATGCCCATGTGTTTACTTGTTGTCTATGGATGCTCCTGTATTACAAGAGCGGGGCTGAGTAGCTGTCACAGAAAACATGGCCCTGCAGAGCCCAAATAATTAACTATCTGGCTCTTTGCAGAAAGTTTGCCAACTCCTGTCCTAGGGAACCCTAAAAAATGCAATTGGGAGTGGTTTTAAGAAGTTTTGTCTAATGTTCACAAAAGAATGCCCCAGAAACTATTAAATACTATATGTTTCAAAAGCATCAGGCTGGGAGTGGTGGCTCATGCCTGTCAACCCAACACTCTGGGAGCCAGTGCAGGGGAATCACTTAAGCCCGGCAGTTTCAGACCAGCCTGGGCAACAGCCTGAGACCCCATCTCTGAAAAAAAAAGTAAAAATAATTAGTCAGGTGTGGTGGTGCACACCTGTAGTCCTAGCTAACTGTCAAGGCTGAGGAGGAAGGATTGCTTGAACCCAGGAGGTAAAGGTTGCAGTAAGCCATGATCATGCCACTGCACTCCAGTCTGGGCGACAGACTGAGAGGCTGTCTCAAAAATAAAAAATATTTAAAAAGCATCAGATAGGCTTGCTCTGCAAAGATCTTAGATTTTCATAGTCAGAAATACCTAGAATTGTTTGAATTTCAATCGTGACCAGTTATTTAAAACCCCCAGTCTTAGCTAAAAATGGAATTTGAGGCTGCAAAGATGACAATAGATCATAACATAAACTGCGTGGTGTACAGTCTAGAACAGTCTTAGTTTCCCACAATTTCTTAAACTCCAAAGAAAGCAAAGATGGGAGAGGAATGCACTTTCACAAACTGGTGAGTGATGCCACCCAGTGAGGATTATAACATTCTCAAATGAGAGAAATTAAGAAGGAAAAAAAAAAACTGGCCCTACAAAGAACTTTCACAACTAGGGACTTAGCCTGAAAAACAGAGATTTTTAATAGATAGGACTTTTTAAGGAAAAAGATATACCATTTTGCTCCACTTTGATAATGTAGTAGGAGTTATTAAGAAATTATTTTAGGCAAATAGAAAGGAAAAGGGGTCCTTGGAAGGTTTTTCACAGCTCCAAAAACATTTCTTGTCTAGCATAAAAGCTCTGGCTCTGCAGGGCACAGTGGCTCACGCCTGTAATCCTAGCACTTTGGGA